GAGGGGTGTGAACTACTTGCACAAAGGCTTTCTAAATGGGTTGGAAGAAATTTCTCCCACTTGCTTTCCAATGCTTCATGTGTATTGTGAGAAGGAGCTAAGTGTGGTATGGAAGTGATGGGAGTGTCACAGTGGCATATGTTTGAACAATTTTTTTTTAAAGAGATGATAGTGGGAGCCTTCCACACTCCAGGGACACAGAAGAAAGGAATAAGCAGAAATGTGGTTAACAGTCATGGGTGTCAGCTTCATTCTCACGTAATAAGAACTTGTTCAGTGCTGTGTTTCCCCAAAGCAGAATGTAAAGAGGCTCTGGACTTAACTCTTATTTGCACCAGGGCAGCTTTACTTCACTCTGGCAGTGCAAAGGGTCCTTAAAATAATTTACATCTACTTTAAGGCCCCTTTACACTGCCAGAGTGTGTACAGTGATCTTTGTGTAAATAGGAATCAGGACCTCCATACTTAAATTCATGGTTGGTGGTATTTGGAATCACACATGTCATCTCAGTGTGAAAGCAATATTTATTCTGTTTAGATTGGAAACTCTTTAAAGCAGGGACCTTGTTTCATACATCTCTAAAGATCTATGTGCCCTTTTGTTGCTATATAAAATCAAGTTCATTTATTAAAAACATGCATCCAAGTTCCTAGGCACTTATAAAAATGTGAAATGGTAAATATTCTTACTACAAAAATCTCTACTACCTACACCACTTCGCAGCCCTGTCAAAAAGCACACTAAGCCCTTAAAACACATGTAAACAAACATAAATAACATTGAACAAAACATTAGGGTATTGCTTCCATAATGGATCAGGCAGTCCAATTGTGCAATGTACTTGGCAGTTTAAGTGTGTTTTCAACTATATAACTAAATGCTGCTTTATGAGACGAAGAGCATGCTTCATTACACAGTGCCTCTTTAATGAATGCATTTCATTATGTAGTGTATATAATTTTATTATTTGATAAATGTGAACAAAGATGATTTATGCCTCCCACAAACCCTTTTAGAAAAGACAGAGCACGTTTATCTATTTTTCATTTCAAGATTAGTTTCTTCTCTCACAAGAACACACAGCTTCACAAGCCCAAATAAATTGCTATGTTTTAATCATAATGTCAAATTATCCATTTCTAATAACCTTTTAAAAACCGACTCAGTAATATTATGATGTTCCTAATTTTACTGAAGTCTTCATAGATAGTCTAGCATACCGTTTTTTTGTCACTGTGTATTTGCATGCAGAACTTCAGAAGTATGAGATATTTTCAGTAGCCTATGTGACATGAATGCAGGGCTCAGTGGATAAGTGACAATGTCACAAAAGCAGTAGCACAAATGGCAATAACACTCTTGGAAGCAATCACAGCAGGCTCCCAAAAGAATGAATTGGTATAGAGACAGAACTGTGACCTGACCTCTACAGCTGGTTCTTCTAGTTCTAGGTTATGACAGATTGGTAGGCCAGCCTGGGGAACCCTTGCATTTCTACTGCATGAGTTATACCTGTCTGTAAATAAACAGACTTCTGTCTTTGGGATTGGTACCTGTCAATCTGGCACCTTTTATGAATCAATGAAAAATACTCTGTCTTTCTCGGATCCTCAATTACTGTAAATCATCATAATGCCGGGGCCACAACTGAGGATATGGAACCAAATGTTCAACAAAGGGGCTGAAAAGCAGGCATAAGATCAACAGAGTCAAAAGGTGATGCACCAAATGTACTGCAGAAAAAACAAAGTGAAGCAATAGATGGGGCATTTGAGCTTCTGAAAGCTCAGTGTTTTATGCCCATTTTCCCCTGCCTATGTAGAAATACAATGTTACAGTGACCTCTGCAGGATTTCTACAAGCATTTCACTATGTAGAATGCTTTCTCTACAGTTTCAAATATGGTCTCTTAAAAAGTTAACTTGCTTCATCTTTCCTGCTTCTTAATTTCTGCCCATCTGTTCTTCTGGAATCAAAACCTCAGGCTATGAAAAATTAATTCGTAATTGGCTGAGCCAAAAAGAGATAAAAATAGTACCTGTAAACCAACAGTTGTGGCAAATTCTCTTAATGCACTTGAGTTAGGCCTCAATCCAGCAAACTACTTAAGCACATGCTTAAATGCTTTCCTGATTTAGGGTCATAATGAGGGATGTAGGTGTGGCACTGAAAAACATATAACTTTTTCGTAGTGGATGTTGTGGCACAAAATTCCAAGGACCTGGAGTCTATTTAGCCCCACCCCAGACTGGAGTGTCCCTCTTTATAATGTGCCCCCTTTGCTTCTTTTATAGTTAGAGGCTCAATTTCCCTGCTAAAGTCAGTGTAGTCATTCCACTGAACTCAATTGGAACTAGATCAGGTCAGTGGCAAGGAATATTCTAGAGAGAACTACACCTAAATAGCAAAAATAAAAAATTACTGTACATGTAGTTTCCTATTTGTTTGAGGCTTCATTACAACATACAAAAGGGAGAGTGTTATCCTTAGAAGGGAAAATTTACCAGTGCTATTTTCTTGGCTATTAGAAAAAATAAATGTAGTCCTCATGAGAGTAATGGGAGCACTATTGCCCCAATAATCTATTTTTTCCTCTCAGCAAAAGAATTCCCTCCAATGTTGACCTTGTGGGTAAAGTTTTATCTTACTCACAGTTTTCTACCTCATCTCCAAGCCTCTGGTTGGATAAGGTTCAGGGCAAAATTCAGTCTTCCAATATTATAAGCTTTTAAACACTCTTCTTCTGCATATCAATTTATTTTACATTTCACCTACAGTAGATTTCCTGTTACTCTTGTATCCACATCAGCATTTCTGTCTTTTAATATAATTCATTTAAAAAAAAAACCCACAACATTTTACTCCTAAAGTTTTATTTCATTTTTTATTATAAATTTGATTTATAATGGAAAATTTAGCAAAATGTTACAATTCGACTGGTGATCATTTTTAAAAGTTATTTCTTTGTCCATATTACTTCTAAAGCCTTATATTATTAAAAACTAGCAGCCAAGATTTCCAGAAGTGTTCAGTGATTCTGGGTGTCCAACTTGAGACACCTGAAAGGGACCTGATTTTCAGAGCGTACTGAGAATCCATGCTTTAAAGAAGTGTAGATGTTCTCTCCATTATATTACTTGGGACCCATCCTAAATTCCCTCTAAGCTGCGCAGCCGCCTATTAAGCCTGCACAGGGGCTCAGGGCTGCGCTGGGGAGAGGTGCCCCTCCCTGCCTGCCCCAGCACAGACCTGCCCCGGCCGGGAGAGAGGACCTTCTCCCTCAGCCCAACCCGACCCAGGCCCGCCGGAGCTGCCCGGGACAGGGGCCCCTCCCTTGGCCCAGCACAGCATAGCCCCGCCAGAGCTGCCTCAATGAGGCACTTCTCCCCCGGCCCCAAGCTGCTGCGGTGAGAGAAGTCTGCGGGGGGGGGGGGGGGGATCCTCTCTCCCCACTGCAGCCCGGGGCAGCCTGCACCCCCATCCCTGGCCAAACCCCTGAGCCCACATCCCCAGCCCCACCCCAGAGCCCACATCCCCTGCACCCCAACCCTCTACCCCAGCCCTGAGCCCCCTCCCACACCCTGAACCCCTCATCCCTAGCCCCACCCCAGAGTCTGCACTCCCAGCCAGAGCCCTCAACCCCCCACACCCCAACCCTCTGCCCCTGCTTGAGCTCCCGCTACACTCCAAACCCCTCAGCCCACCCCCCCCCACATCACCTCCATATTGGTGTCACATAAAATTCATTCCGCACATGGACATAAAAAATTAGAGCGAACACTGACCCATCTCCTTTGTACCTTAACTACTGGGTGTGTGCACAGGAATTTAAATTTGACTGCTTTTGGAGGGATATGTTAAAGACACATAAATTAAAGGTTCATGACGCCTCCCCACCCCCTGATTTCTCGGGATGCATCTGTCAGGGATGCCCAGCAGCGAGGAGACAGCGGCTCCCTTGGGCAGCAGCACTCCCTGTGGCCCTGCAGTCGGGGGGGAGGGGGGAAAGCAGCAGGGTGGCTGGCTGCTGCCTAAGCTCTTCCTCCCCAGCCCCCTACAGCTGCTGCTTCTCCTTCCCTGCTGCTGGAGTGCCAGAGTTTCTGTCTGCTTTGCAGACCCCACCCCAAGGTGAGTCAAGGGGTGAAGGCAGAGGCAACCCGTTGGACTCCAGCAACAGGGAAGAAGAAGCAGCTGGCTGAAGCTATGGGGTGGGGGGAGAAACTCAGGCAACAGCCAGATGCCCTGCTGCTTCCTCCCTCCTCGGGCTGTGGGGAGATAGATTTTTTGGGAGATGCCCCTACTTGCCCGCCCTTGTGCACACCCTTGTTAACTACAAAATTGTCCTATTGATGTCAGGGGAGCACTCAGAGAGCAAAATCGAATTCATCATTGGTAGTAAAGGTGGCAGAATAAGGATATTATTTTTGAAGTTTAACAGCCAAATTTTTCTAGTCATTGTCCAAGTAGGAGGTGCAGAGCGCACCACTCAAGGTGGAACATCTGGAGGGAGTATGCCACACTGACACACGTTCCTTCCTTGATTTCCACAGTCCACATGGGGGCACACAAAGCTGTGTTATCCAGTAAGCTTGCTTCCCACACGCTGTGCCTCATGCAGAACTATGGCAGACAGTAGACACGAGGTCCCTGGTGTGGTCATTGCCAAACCTGGACAGTTAGCAAGCAGGGAGGGAGGTATTTAAATCCAACCAGATAACTCTTTTAATGGCTTTTATTTAAAAATCATGAAACAGCACAGACATCAGTAGTTTGAGACTCTTATTTTTATGCAAACAAACAGGCCATTATACTTTGGGGCTGATCTTCCTTATAGTGTTCCTTTCACTACTACTATTATCAGGTGACTATAGTGATGGGCAGCCCTATAAAAGCCTAGAGACAGTGTGATATTTGATAGGGCACTGCATGAACTTAAATGAGTGGGTATCTTCCATCTCATACTGTTCATTTTTTACTTGGTTATTCATGTGTAACTTACCATTCAGTATTGCAAAGTAGACATCCAGTAAAATCTCATGTCGAGTTGGTGTTTTTGTGCCACAGATTTCACTTCCATTTTTTATGACTTCAGAATGTAGTATCCACCATGCACCCGAACCTTCCTACAAAGGATATACTGAACTTTACCTTGTTAGGATTTATGTTAACCACCATTATCATTCTGCTACAGAGGATCTATTCAAAGCCCGCAGAAATCAACAGGAGCCTTTCCATTGACTTCAATAGGCTTTGGATCTGACAGCTGGCAATTAATATTTTTGGCCTGATTCTTCAAACTTTTACTCATGTAAATTATCCTTATGTGGACTATTCACATGAGCAAGTATTTGCAGGATTAGGCTTTCTGTTTGATTATACATCAGTTCAAGGGTAGGTGAAAGAAACATGAGCATTGAAAGTTACAGCTCTCATTCTGAAGGCCCGAGCATAAGCACTACTGACAATTTCCCCTGTCTACGCCAAGCAGCAAGTATGTTCTAGAAAGCTGAAATGATTAATGTACAGTAAATATAATAGGAACCTATCCCCTCCCAGTCCTCCAAAAATAAAAAGCAAGCTGCTTATGCAGCCGCTGTTCTTTAGAATTTACACAGCCTTCGCTGGTAATACCATGCAGAGGCTACTTCTGCTTCAGAGAGGACACTGAGCCCTGGTAGTAGCAGCTGAATGTCAATTTAGATAATATATGGTGTGGTAGAATCAGCTTCTACAGCACTCTTATGTAGCCTGCCATGGGATCACTCATTCCCACCTCAGTTTCCCTCCAGGTCCTCAGTCTTCCTTGGTTTGGTATGAGACCCTGGTCAGTTCTAGTTCCAAGAGAGCATCATATAGTCTAGTCCTTAGCTAGCTATAGCCCTTTTACACAGGGTCTGTCTTCTCAAGTTAATATGCATCAGTATTACCTGTATCTCAGCATCCACTGTCAGGGTCTTGATATCAAAATCAAACAATAGTCCCAAAGGAAACATAAAAAAGCATCTTCCCTCATGGGCTACCCTTCCACCCCACTTTCTCATCTAGTGCTCACCCTCGGGACTGACTTTGTCCTTGGAAAGCTATCATCTACCCAAACTTCTGACCCTCTAGGCCTTCTCCCTGGAGTCCTTTGTTCACTCTGGTTCTCCACAGACTGGACTCTTATTCCCCTCTTCTACCAGCCCATTTGCCTGGGGGGTTGGCTTTCTCCAGGGTCTGCCACCAGATCCTCCTCCTCTCCTGCCACTTTCTCCCTTCAGGATCAGCCTTAAAAGAGCCTCGCTCTTGTAGATCTTCTCCCTAACTAACCACAGCCTTTTATGGAAATCATCTGACTCCATCCCAGGTAGGGCTGATAATTAGACCAAGCCATCTGATCCCCAGCACATCAGGATCAGTTGTGGGAGTAGCTGTCCACCACAGGCAAAGTTGAACCTGGCTCTCCTTAAAGGGCCAGCCCGTGACACATGGACACTTAAGACCTACTTCCTCTGCCCTACAAAGAAATGGTGACTGGGGAGAAGGGGAGGAACAGAAGCAGCCAACGTGGGGACTGCTACACCATGGGGAGAAGAAATAAAATGAGGCCCAGCTGGGGCCAGCCCACCTCCCAGCACACTTCTGGACCCAGAACTGTGCAGGGGAGACCACAAACTCTGGGGTCCTGAAGACCCAGGTGGTGCCTTGCCTCCCCACACCACGTGGCCAGGGGGGAAACTGCAGAGGATTCAGTCACAGCCTCAAGCCAGTAGGAACAGAAGCCACCAAAGCAGGGACCTTTTTCTCCTCTGGACATTCCAGTCAAAACTGAAGAAAGTTCTGACTTTCTCTGCCCTGTGCTGATTTGTTTGTTCCAACCCTCCCTCTCTGATGCGTCTCTTCACCTAAGCTTCACTCCACATATACCTCTCTTCTCCCCTCCCCTAACCGCCTCACCCTGCTTCCCTTCCCAGTTAGCAGATCCCACCTAACTAACCCCTCCCCCACAAAAAATATCATGGGACTAACATAATGTTTGTTGTCATATAGTTTGCTGGGCTGGAGTCTCATACCCCTCCCCTAACCCTGCATCTTTCTTGTCTATTTAGATTGTAAGCTCTTCAGGGCAGGGACTGTCTGCTACTCCCTATATGTACGGTGCCTAGCACGTTCTAGGTTATCCCTACCATAACTAACAAACAAATAAAAATTAACAACAACAGCTGCCTTTCTATTGCAGTTCCCAATCACCATTCCTTGAGAAGAGGGAGAGAAGGTACAAGGGTTGGGACATAAATTGCTGTTGATATTTTTTAAAAGTTTCCGTGGAGCGGGTTTGGACCCAACCTCTATACTGTTGGGGCAGCAGAGAGTGTTTCTGTAGCTCCCATGGGTTGTGCAGAGCAAGACAGATTGTGCAGCATTTGACATAGGCGCCTTCCCTTCCCGCTCCCACCCCCAGGCAGTTCCACAATGCTCTGCCATGCAGCTTCAGGATTCCTAGCCTCTCCAGCAGTATGACCTGCTTCCTGAATAAGCTGGCCTGTTGGGAAGCCAGACTGCTTGACTTGTCTCTTTCTTGATGCCACCCACAGCGTATTCCACAGCACTCTGCCATGCAGCTTCAGAGTTCCTATTCTCTGCAGTAGTCTGAACTGCTTTCTGAGTAAGACAACCCACCATGAACCCAGCCCACTCAGCTCCAAGGTCCTACATAAGTATGTACCCAGCACAACTGTTCTTGAGTGGAGCCCATCTCCTCAGTCTTCCCCTTTCCGTCCCTCCCCCAAAATCTCTTCTCTATTCCGTCCTTCCTCCTATAACTTTTCCTCCATTTTCACTCCTTTCCCAATGTCAGGAGATAGGTAGAAATACTAAAGAGAAGGAGCAGTTAACACATCCTCCTGGCCATGGCTTTAAGCAGTTTTTCCCTTTCCTTTTTATAAACCTAAGTCTAGGCACAATTAACCACAGATACCACAGCTATGGTCTGGCTTAAGGATTGGCTGTAATAGCAGCCATTGCAGCAGAGTTGATAAATGCACTCAGAGAAGGCATGCTGCACAGATCCATAATCGTTTTGGATCTAGTTTTTGGAAAGGCCCTCATAAATCAAGAAATCCCTCTTAGCTGTGGGCCTCACAGGATGCAAGTTTCTGCTCTATGAGACGGCCCGTAGTTTTAAGAGGGCCCTCTCTAAGGCCTCTTCTGACCATGCTGCCAGCTGGTTTATCACGTATTTTTAACAGCAATTAAAAATGGAACAAAATAACATTTTTCACCTACCTTTAATCCAGAGATCATAACACTCTTGATTATTAAAGACTTGCAGTTCCCCTGAGAGGTAGGTAGCTTGTATTGTGCCCATTTTATAGGTGTGTAAAGTGACTTGCCCAAGGTCACAGTGAATTAGTGGAAGAGCCAGGCTGAGAATCCTGACTCCAAGTCTCCCTGCTCTAATCACATAAACCACACTGCCTCTGCATTTCTCATAATTAGTGAACACAGGTGAATTTTAACCCACTGACTGAATTACACCTGATTCAGTACTTGAAACGCTTCTGCAGAGAATAACAGCTTATGCATATCAACTATTACTTTGAGAGTTGCATATGCACTGTGCCTCAGTTTTATGGCCTGAAGCAACTGAGATGTCACTTATGATTAATCATAAGTGTAATTACAGTAGGTGAGAGACTGAAAATAAGTTTTTAATCAGATTGTACACAAAACATTTTTGCACAGCAAGTCAACTTACATCTGTTGCATATTCCACAGTTGTTAGGGGAATCCATAAAGTACCTAAAAGTTTGTCCCATATCAAGCCTTTCTTCCACAGCTCCACCATGAAGCCCTTTTCAACATCACTGATTTCACTGCAAATAAACAAAACAAACAAATAAACAAACCAACCAGATACTGTGATTTGGGACAGCAAACCTGAAAATCTGAAAATGCAATCTTAATGATAGTTTTACTACTACTCCACTAGAATACTCTGAACCACTGCTTTCTAACCACACAATTATCTTCATTAATATACAATAGAACCTTACTTTTACAAACACCAATCTTACAAATGACCTGTTATATGAATGCTTCCTCCTGACCAAAATAAAATAAAATCACAAACAAAAGCGATGTCAGTAAAGAGCAAGTCGACATCGCTTCACATTCTGATAACTTCAATTAGAAATTGTTTCGCAGCGCTTCGAACGGAAAGAAAAAAACAGTGCAGTATACCATACTGCAACCTATGCCCTGGATCTACTGTACTTCTGAAATGTTCAGTTTTGTGAACTTTTTGATTTTATTAACAATCTCCAATTAGATAATAAAATATGGGTTCTACTGTGAAATATGAAGTAACTGGCATGGTTATGAACATAAACCTCCAAGATCCAAGTCAATAATACACTTGAGTACTAACTTTCAGGATCTTGACTGATTTCACAGCTCCATACTTTGTGTATCAGAAAGTCTGTCAGGAGTGGGGCAGACTGGTACCAGCAGCCAATATTCCTGCTTCGCTGGAAGACCTAGAGCCATCTGACATAGCCCAGGAAAAAAAGGTAGGTGTAAGCAGAAGATGCACTGATTCAGACCAGTGTTGCTGCTCTGACCTTCCAATGGATTTTGAAGCTGCTCTCCTCAGGAAGAATCCCAGGACCAGTGTGCTAGAGTGAATCACACACCCAACCTCTAGTGCAGCTGCTCACATAGGTACAGGACTTACCCTGTGTATCCAGCCCTTAGTTAGTTAGTTGGCTGTCCAAACAGTAGTTAAAATATATTTTAATAATCTAAGGAAATACCTGCTCAATGACACCCTTGTACAGTAACCTAATTCTAAGCCTCCTCACAACCCATATTCTAGTTATTTACTATTTTTAAATATTGGTAGGTAACAGCACTGTAGTGCTTCACAAAAAACTAACTCTTCAACTTGATAGCATCCCTGAGACATAGCTAGAGAAACAGATTGAAAGGGCCAAGCTGGGCTCTCACCCAAGTTGAAAGAGCTATTTGTAAACAAATCTGTGATTAGAAACTAACAGTTCCTAGGTTACCGAGGAGCGAATCTGAAAACATTACCCTTTAGTTATAAGAGGCGTCTGGTTAGAGCCAAATTGTCCCATTATCATTGGGGTGAGGAGGATGATCATTTAGGTTAGCCCCATCTGTGACTTTTTGGGGGGTACTTGACAAGACATTGGCAACAGTTTCCTTACTACAGGACCATACATACATGAATAATTAATCAGTCCAGGTATTTAGTAATCACAAAACACAAAGATAAAAAATAAATAAAAAACTTTCTGAAATGCAGAAGTGATCATGGCAGAGATTTTGCATGGCTGCTGGTAAAACTACACCTGCATCATGGTGTCAGAAAGTGATCTGGCCTTTAAGGATTATGGCCTTAGTCCCACCTGTGCTCAGATATTTGACTCCCAGGACATGGGTTTGAGGCCAGGACTAAGAACTGCCATACTTGGTCGACCAAAGGTCCATCTAGCCTATTGTGATGCATAACTAGAAAATAAAATAAATAAATAACCCTCAAAAGACATGCAGGGAGATAATGTTTGTGTTTTTGTATATTTACATATGTAAGAGTAGGGTCAACAGTGTAATCAACAGTCCCAGTCCATGCTATATTCTGATATCATTTAAATGAATTGTAAACATGGGATATCTTGGTATTCATCTCTCTTTGAAATGTAGTGTGAACGGTGGAGGAACAAGCAAATGGCCTTATGTTAATCGGTGATGGACCTCCTTCAAAGTCATCCTAATTACCTTTTGTTCCCTGAGGAACTCCCACCTGTCAAAAAGACATGAAATTGTATAAAAGACCCTTGCGTCCTGATTCTGTCATCTCAGATCTGCTTCATCTTCATTAGGGGAAGTTTGAGTCATAAGACTGAGATCCCAGTTATGCTGGTACAGCCTGAATATGCTATTTGGACATTAGACTATAAACTATGAATTACTTCTGAAATAACTCTTTGCAACTACAAAGCTCACCATCTCTGCTATGAATCTGCAATTCAATGAATTGAACTCATGTCTGTATGTACATTGATCTTTTAACCATACTCTCTCTCTTTTGTTTTTAATAAATTTTAGTTTTGTTAATGAGCATTGGCTGTAGCGTGTATTTGGGTAAGATCTGAAACATTCATTAACCTGGGAGGTAATGCGTCCGATCCTTTGGGATTGGTAGAACCTTTTCTTTTATATGATGAAATAAGATTTACAGAAATTCTTATATTTGACATGGGTACCTGGATGGAGGCCTGAGGCTAGATAATTTTAAGGGAACTGTGTTGTTTGGACTTCTGAGTACCCAGTAAGGTAATAAAGAAGCTGTTTTATGCTGGCTTGGTAAATCTAAGTACAGTATTGGAATATCCACCATCTTTTTTGGGTTCGGCTGCCCCATTCTTTGCAGTTCACTCTAACTGAGTGACCACAGCTGGCTCCCACTAGGACCCCGATCACACCTAGTATCCGGTCTTCCGACAGTGGCCAATGCCAGGTGCCCCAGAGGGAATGAACAGAACAGGTAATCATCAAGTGATCAATCCCTTGTTGCCCTTTCTCATCTTCTGTCAAACAGAAGCTAAAGACACCATCCTGGCTAATAGGCATTGATGGACCTATCCTCCATGAACTTATCTAGTTCTTTTTTAACCCTGTTAGCATCTTGGTCTTCACAACATCCTCTGGCAAGCAGTTCCACAGGTGACTGTGTGTTGTGTGAAAAAAATACTTCCTTTTGTTTGTTTTAAACCTGCTGCCTATTAATTTCATTTGATAACCCCTAATTCTTGTGTTATGAGACATAACCTGGGGGTCACCTGCTTCCTGGATGAAAGGCAAACACACAGTAACAATTTAGATCAGATGAAAGGACTGGCTGGCATTACCTGCAGTGAAGGGCAGATTTAAGAAGGAAAAGGCTCGAGGAGACACCAGAACCCCAGTTTGGAAAAGAAATGTTGAGTCCACCAAGTGGTGAAGAAACTGTAGAGTTGTGGAAAGACTTGTTTTGACTTACGCTAGCATTTGAACTGTAATTTTTTTTTTTTTAAGTACATCAGCCCCCACCATCCAAAAAGGGTATTATGACTTACAAGCATCTGGGTGTTTGAGAACCCCAAGAGGGGAAAGTGAGGCAGTGTCAGAGGCTGATGCTAAATGGGTGATAACACTGTCATGGCAAGCACTCACCCCTGGAGCACCCTTGGGTGGCCCAGTGTGAACCCATAGTTGTGTCATTGCCTCAGTTTCACCTTATGTGCTATTAGTAAGTTCAGTGAGGCTCTTATATAGTGACTAGTGCCCCTTCAGAGATCTAGTTTATTAATAAAAGGCTGAACGCAGTATACAGAGAAGCCTTCACTCCAGCATTGTAGTAGAGGGGTGTTTCTTAGTTAGCCTGCCCCCCCACATAACTCCCTCCTTCTTCTCACTCCAGGCTCTTCACTAGTAAGGCCCTCTCAACCCAGAACCCTTTTCTGGGGTTAGGCCTCCTACCATCACCTGGGGAAGGGTTCTTTCTCTGGACCAGCACATAGTTCCCCAATTACCTGAACACTTTGCTTCTGTCTGATAAGATCCTTTTGCTAGGACCAGGCCTTCCTAGGGCTTTGCCACTCTTAGAACCAGATATCTTCCATAACATCTTTCCTTGGTCCCCTGTTCTGGTAAGCTTGCTAACCAGCTTCCCCCAAAAGTCCCTCTCCTCAGGAACTACCTCTGTGTGTTGTAGCTTCCTGACTAAGGAGCCCTCATAACCCTTTATTAAATCCAGGTGTGTCTTTACGAGTTAACTGCCACTCAGTCACCTAGGTCATTAACTACTCACTGGTGTGACAGGCTCTCCTAAGGAGAATCCAGGTAGGCTGGGTGCTTTACACCCTCAGGGGCCACCTATTCTGTGACACACCAACTCTGTTTTTTTAGCAGGGGAGGGGTAAGCACCAATACCAACTCCAGAAATTAAAAGATAATGACTCAGACTGCAAAACCCAGAAGATCTTTTTAAAGACTAGACATGGTTTTAGTCTCTCTTTTGATGTTTAAACTTCTCCCTCCCCCACCCAAATCATGTTTGGCAGTTATGGCCCAATATCCATGAAATCATGAGAGTTTCCAACGCCAGCTTGGGTGATTACCCCCATTCTATCAGGCTGCAGAGAGCAGCATCTGTAGATGATTAACATGGGTATTGGGGAATGCTGCCCCTTTTCCTCTCAGACACCTGGGAGTAAGGGGGACCAGCCCCAGTATATACTGACCCTCTCACTTGCTTTCACTGAATAAAGTAAAAGCTAGGATAGGTTTTCTAAACTGTCATACCTGGCTAGAGGTGATAGACTGTTGTAGCAGAAGCAATAGAAGGATTCCCCTTGACTTCAATGGGCTTTGGATTAGCCCCCCCCCCCCCTTTTTGTTTTCTACCTGTGGATCGTATGTGTATTTTATTATTTGTTATTTTAAAGACAGAAATGTTTGTACCAAATCTTTATCATTCACTTCTGCCTTGGGAATTCATAACTACATTTAGGTATGGTTTGTCTCTTATACAAAATCAATACAATAAAGCCCCAGACAGAAATAAAAGTTATTTCATGATGGCACATCTTGCCATCTTGTATATTTAGACCACAAACAGCTATGAACTATTTCCTTAAGTGTTAGTAATAACAAACAATGTAACTATGCTGCTGGTATGAGTGATGATACTTTTATTCCTAATGTTTATCTGACACATTAAATCAAACAGGAATAAATTCTGAGATTAAACAATAAATTATTTCAGTTAATCACAGTGAAATCCTGTGAATTCACATTTACCTGTAAAAAGGAAAAACTACTGAAGCAACAAAGGGTGGTTCCCCTGATTTGTGTATTAAATATGAACAAAATATAACGGATGCATGCTGCATTGCACAAGCAGTTTACATACTGTATGCATTTGGGTTGCCTGGGGAGTCATGGCCTGATTTTTTGCTGCCTTGTCACTAACACCTGTCCAAAATGGATGTGAAATATTTCTGTTCCGATTCTCACTTTACACAGGTGCGAAGAGCTACCCCATGGCAAAATCCTGCCTTTCAATTTCCTCAGTGCTATGATGATATTAATGTTACATTGGAAATCAAAAGGCAGAGCCATATGCTGAAGGCTTAAACTGCTGTGTACATTAAAAGAAGCAAACTTGTTGACTCCTTGGGATACATCTGAAGAGAAAGAGCACTTAAAGAAATGGACTAGAACATGACTCTGTATAAATGTATTTGTAAATGTCTATTTATAGGGCATTTTAAAAGGCTACTCCCTTGTATGCTTCAGTGAGCAGCAGATGGAGCCACAGCAGGCTCAGAAAAGATTTTCTCTAACTTTTAGGTAATGAGCTTTAATTATCACAGGGCAAACAGTTTATTTTCTTTGCTGCTAGAAAGGTGGTTTTGTATCCTTCTGTCAGATTTAGACTGCAACCTAAATAACACATTTCCTTATGCCTAGCGCAATTTTCCAGAGATGCTTCCTACTAAATGGTTAATTTACCACTGCAATTATAATTTCTTTGCCATGTGACAAAGACACAATGTGACTGAAAGCAAAAGGTTTTTACTGCAGAGAACACAAATTCACTAAGAACGGTTTCAGACTAGCAGCCGTGTTAGTCTGTATCCGCAAAAAGAAAAGGAGTACTTGTGGCACCTTAGACACTAACAAATTTATTTGAGCATAAGCTTTCGTGAGCTACAGCTCACTGCATCCGATGAAGTGAGCTGTAGCTCACGAAAGCTTATGCTCAAATAAATTTGTTAGTTTCGAAGGTGCCACAAGTACCCCTTTCCTTTTCACTACGAACTGAATTTTCAACAACTGTTATAGGAAAGTTAGAAGACTCGGGTCATAAACAACAGCTCTCCTCCTGTATAAATATCAGAGAGACATATTTTTTAAGACAGCTTCTGCATTAAGGGTAATGGAGAGGGGCCAATGCTGAAATTCTTCCTCATACACAAAAAGAAAAGGAGTACTTGTGGCACCTTAGAGACTAACCAATTTATTTGAGCATAAGCTTTCGTGAGCTACAGCTCACTTCATCGGATGCATACTGTGGAAAAGTATGTAAAAAAGCTGTAGCTCACGAAAGCTTATGCTCAAATAAATTGGTTAGTCTCTAAGGTGCCACAAGTACTCCTTTTCTTTTTGCGAATACAGACTAGCACGGCTGTTACTCTGATTCCTCATACACAATACCTACTTTCTCATGCAAAAAGGCATAGTACACTGGTAGTACTAGTAGTAATAGTAAAACTACTATGTCTAGATTAGTAAATATCATAAAAATCTTCTAACACAGTATTATATACCAAGGAAAGTACTGCACCGAGACATGACAACTTTACTACAATTTGCAGACAGAAAGCCTGATCCTGGTTTACAGTAAGACAACTCTAGCAGTACAAAGGAGACTTAAAGAGGGTGGAAATGTACCTTGCACACATTTAAAGACCCTTTTTCACTGGCAGAGTGGTGAAAACTGGACTTGGTATGAATGAGAATCAGGCCCAGAAACTTTAATATTCTTAAACTGAAACAATGATCTTAGGCTATTGTTATTATTTTAAAAACAAGTCAAATGTGTGAAATCCTGAAAATGCTAAATTACATTAAAAGTTCAAAGATGAAAAGGTTTTGGGAAGGGGGAGGAGCTGAAGGGAGTATATGATGATGGGATCATGGGGTTTATTTCTTGGAGACTTAGCAGGAAAAGACAGAAAGGAGATAAACTAGCAGAGCTGGCTGGAAAATGATTGGGGTGGTGGTTTCCACTGAGAATATCAACTTTTTGTCAAAAAACTGAGAATCTGAAGACTTTTTTTTTTTTTTTTGGTAACTGAATCCAAAACATTTTGGCCAAAAACCAAAAGAAATTTTGGTTAAAACCAAAAATATTTTTGGTTTTTAGATTTTTAAAAAAAATCTATCATTTTGGAGGAAAGCAAATACTTTTACCAAAAATTTCTTTGCGTCAATTTTCTATCTGAAAAATTAACACTGAAAATTTTCCACTAATCCTAGTTGCTAGGAGTAAAACTGATATTGCTCTGATGAGAGGAGAAGGCAGCAAGATGTGATAGTAGATATGAGAATATGACCGGACGTCAACAGAAGCAAGGATGCAGAGGAAAAAGTGGAGATGGGGAACATAAGGGAGTTACGCGCCCAAACCACACAGGAATTCAGTGGGAGCCAGATATCTAACTTCCTTAGGCTCCTTTGAAAATCCCAGTTGAGAACAGATCTGTAAAATGAGCTGAGGTGAGGCAGAATATGTGCCTGTGCCCATCTAGCTGTGGGGAGCCAATAAAGCTCTTGAATAAAACAGGAGTGATGAGATGGTGGGGTGGAAAGAGAAAAAGGTGGCTCAAGCAAGGGAGATGGCAGTGGGCAGGATTTGGAGAGAGACATAAGGAACAATATACTGGGTCTAATAGGTCAGCAATTAAAAGAATCTCAATGATCAGTTAAAATAATATGTTGGGCATATCTAACTGGCAAGCAGGGGGATGGAATGGAAAATAAAAAATTGTGTCTACTTGAATCCTGTCTACCATCTTAGAGCTCCCTATTCACTGGGGCTAAAATAAGCTTAATGAAACTGGATCACAAAGGCTTCTTCTCCCCTTGATCTGCATTCTGGCAGAACAGCTCAGACCACTTACTTTGCCTGGATCCTGAGGCCAGGGGCTAGCCCATGTTCTCCCTGAGCTAGATTTCCCCTTCCCTGGAGCTGCTGGCTGTGTTTGGTCATAGAGTTCATTATCAATTTTCAGTTGTATCAACATAGCCATGACACAATGCAAACTAATTGACAAGAAATCTCTGTTACTTACAACATAAAGTCTTGTTCCCAGCAAGGTTCGCTTCCTTTTCTGTTTATTGTGGTGCTTTTTAGATTTTGGATTTTTAAAACAACATAGGTATTAAATGTGTCTGAAACAGAAACAACAAACAAATTAACTACCTTTCATTATTTTGTGCTAGGAGCTGGGGGCATTGACTTAGGCTTGTGGAGTTCACACTATGGGGCTAAGAATAGCAGTGTAGCCTTTCCATCTTGGCTGGAGCCTGGGCTCTGAGACCCACCCCCCTCGCCGGGTTTCAGAGCCAAGGCACCAGCCTAAGTGCAAACATCTATGCTGCTCTGTTTAGCTCTGTAGTGAGGGTCCCCAAGACCGAGTCAGTTGATCAAAGCTCTGAGACTCACAGCCACAGTTTTTGTTTGTTTGGGGTTTTTTTACAGTGTAAACATACCCTTAAACTCCCAGTACCTTGGAGTTAACTCTAACTACGATACAACCCACACAGAAATGCCTCTCAGTTCTGTGGCTTAGCTATGAAACCCCCATTAATTCTGAATATGGCTCTCTGTGTAGCAAAATAAGTTAAAACAAAACATTCCTAAAGCAGCTAGAGGTATGAATTGTGTCTGGTGTCCACTGTATAAAATGTGAATAAGTTGTTTTTCTAGCAGGAGCATATTCAATAGGAAGTAGTTAGTTCTCTAATAGTTAGGTGTGGACAAAAGTGGTGCATTATTTACAGAAAGAGACGCCTTCCTTGTTTAGGTGGCAGTAGTTACAAAACATCATGAGAAAAGCCCAGCTCCTCAAAGGTATTTAGGTGCCTAGCTCCCATTGAAATCAATGGGTAAATAAGTTGTACATGCATTTTTGTAAGTCCAAAAATGGAGGCCATGTCTGAAAACCTGCCCCACATTATGCATATTAGAGTAAATGTAACGTCAAGATATTTCCAAATCACGTTGAGTTACATTATATGACTGTCTACATTGCAATGAACGGAATGAAATCACAGAAGTACAAAAATAGGCACCAATGTAAATCTAAATGTGGTAGCAAAGTTGTCCCTTCCAATAAATAGTAAGATGCTTATGGCTCAGTCCTCAGTTGCATCACAGCAGAATTTGATGCTGCTGTTGTGAGGGGATGCAAAGGTGGCTGTAAACCATCTTTCAATGTCCTCGATCTTGGGGCGGGATAAAGATCAAACTGGTCTCTGGCACAAAGTAGAGCAGCCAATTCCTGGTTTGGTTCAGTACCATCACTAACTTCTACAGCCTTCATTTAAAGATCTGCATTTAATTAACCTGCATTGTTAAAGTTTTCAGAGAGGTTGATAACCATAACAGCTAGTGCATGATAATATTTCATTAAGGCACACTGGCATTTTAAACCAGTGTGGATTTGTGAGGTGGAGTCCAAAATGCAGGCTACACCCTGTAGGCTACTCTGTGATGCCACTTGACCAATAGGCCAGGTCTGTCAAAAGGGGAGCTCTTACGGGACAACAAATTAATTGGAACAAATTAGTGTGAGTAAACTAAGTCATCATTCACCAAGTCATCTATTTATTTTCTTTGTCAATGTACCAAGCGTCTCAAATATCATGTCATTGCTCTCAGACTGAACAAACTATTAACAAAGTCAATATAGGTTTAGAAATCTGTTTGTGGATTAAAAGCTTTCAATATATGATTCATTTATTATGCAGGGTAACTCTCTGAATACGCCAAATAACCTGACAGAGAATGAAAATTGCAAATTTTCTGTATCTTTGCTGTATGTCATTTTTATTTTATGTTTTGATTTTTTTGTAGTTTTTGGGCTTGTGCATCAGACTGTATGAGCATTGGGAAGGGATCCACATCAATCATAAATTAGTTGCCTAATTCTAGTGATTTTGAACACCACCATCAAAAATCTAATCTTCTATCTCCAAAAACAAATATCAAAAACATAAATACCCTTCATCCGATATTAAAGCTAACATCTTTTCAAATATTCAGTGCAATTTGAAAATGCAGCCAGAATGGATGAGAAACAGAGCAATTAGACAGGCAGATTAACCTTTAAAAACATGTATTTAAGAATCTCTATTCAATCCACCTTTAACTCCAAGCTTTCATCCACGTTTGACAGATTCACTCCCCTCTCACACTGAAGTCTCTCTCACCAGTATTCAAACTTGGCTCACATTTCTGTTGCTTCCCCAGCACCTTTTCCCACATAGCTGAGTACCTCTGAAGAAAATCTTGACTGGCTGAACTATCATTTTTTCTGCTCTTACTACAGCTCTGTTATCTACCATGTTCAAGCAGCTGCTTCTCCTTGATTGACTCCTATGCTTAAGACCTCAGTGTCTCTTCTCTGCATTTGAATGTCCCCACAGTGCTTCTCCCCCATCTCTCTCTCCCTCCCTGAAATCTCACGAGCTACTTTTGGAAAAGAGAGAGAAGGTGAGTGAGGTAATATCTTTTATTGGACCAACTTAAGAAAACTTAAGAAAAAGAGACATTTGTAATACATCCTTCACCACATGCCTCCGTGCACACACAGAGACATACACAAAACCCTTAAATTATAACAATGCTGATTCTGAGCCACATTCACTGATAAACCCTGGTGGTGAAAAGCAGCTGTAAATTCCAGTTAACTAGCTACTTGAAGATTGGAATCTTTCGTAGCCCGAATCTGCCATAGCACTTTCTATGTCACTTCCCTTTCTGTCCAATTCAGGGTCCACAGTTGGGGGAAATGGAGCACTATTGGGTCATCCCTTTGCCTAGCTCATCCCTGACTATTGTAATGGCCCAGTGGAGCTATGGCCAGCCAACACAAGACAGAATAGCCTTACAGCTGTTCTACCTCACATGAAGAAGAGGACTGGCAGGAGTGGAACAGTGGGAACATACGGGTAGCTTAAGACCACCTCTACCTCCCACATATAGGCACCTCTTCTGCAGTTCCTCAAGAATGGGAACTCTGGCCCTTTATCTCTGAATATATCTTTCAGTCTGCATCACTGTTAGCTTTGATAATAGCTAGTGCTAAATAACATTCAAAGGTCAATTTAAATGTTTTATTTAATTTATCAAGCAGTGCTATAAATGTAAGCATCTATTGTAAATTAGAGCACAGATGAAACATAACATTTGCCGGATCTTGTGCAATCATTTTATGTGACAATATTATGCATAATGACAGCGAAAAGAAATGTCCCCATGTTCTACGCTTCACAAATGCAGATGTAACTAATAATGACTGTGCTTCTCAATGAGTTAAATGAGAATCATATTCTGAGACAGTGGCTTAAATGTGGTAGTTCAAATGACCTCAAAATTCACCTCTCTTTAATCCAAGTAATCTAAAACAATCTGCACGGGTTACCACAGGGCAGCATTAGTCAGTCAGCCATATTTTACCCCCCCCCCCGCTTTCCTGCTGGTAATAGCTCACTTTAAGTGATCACTCTCATTACAGTGTGTATGGTAATGCCCATTGGTTCATGTTCTCTATGTATATAAATCTCCCCACTGTATTTTCCGCTGAATGCATCCGATGAAGTGAGCTGTAGCTCACGAAAGCTTATGCTCAGATAAATTTGTTAGTCTCTAAGGTGCCACAAGTACTCCTTTTCTTATTGTTTCCTAACAATGTCCTGGAGTGCCCCAAGTTAAAGGTAATGTATTATTTTATTTTATTGTTATGTCAAATCTTGAAGTCCTTACTCAGGTTTTAATCTGCATTTGTCTACACAGATCACTGAAATGTTTGTGTCTGCCTGAGTCTGGTCTTGCCTCTCTAGCCATTGTCCAGCCCTTGACCCTAGAGGCTGACTGAAAACAATCCCAGGCATCCAGATTTTGCTCAAGGTCATGGGTTAGTGCTCCCATCTGAACCAGCCAGCTACAGATCTATGGGGCTTCTGCTCCCATCCATACTTCTTTATTGTCCTCAATGGACACATTCAGGCACAGTCCCTGCCCACCTTTGGTGAAGCTGCAAACTCTGCACCACCAATATCTCCCGCTTCCCCCATCACAATGGTTTCACTTGTCTCAGGACCTTCTGTCTGCTTTTTTCCCATGCAAATGTACACTTCAAGCATTAGTATGGTAGAAACTAACATTAGTAAATGTTATGTCACATTATGGACCTTAATCTTGTTTGGAAAGTGCTGTGATTCATTTATCTCCTTGTAAATAGTAGAAAAATTTGCATAGCAAACTTGCATGTCCTTATTTCTTTTGCCCTGGATAGATTGAGGACCTACCGCTATTTCTAGCTTAAACAGATTTACTTTAGCACAATGCATATTTGCTCTTAAAAGAAAAAAAACGGTGTTTGTCTAAATTTAGAGTATGGGAAGGCAAACTTACCAGCAGCGCCATTCAACCGTCCTTTTTTCACTATTAAAAATAAAAAGAGAAATACATGTAACTATATTAATTCCTATAATACTTTTAGAAGATTCTTAGCTGCAAATATTCTTTTAAAAACTAAGAAATTTCCGTCTTTTAAAAAATTATTCATCATTTAAAGATACAAATGAGGTCTATATCAAAGTCGTATCTGTATTAATATATCATAATATAAGACAAAATTACATAATCAGAGCAATCTTATATTACAATATTGTCCACATTTTTGTCAAGAGGATAAGATCTCTAAATATCTTGAGGAAAGAGAAAAAAATTGTCTTAAGTAAATACCTGGTATATAAATACAATATAACAAGCTTTGATTTAATGACATAATAAACCATACTAAACAACTGACTTTAGTAATAATTTATTTCAAACACCACCGGCCTTTGAAAGATCCATGCACCTTACTGGCTCCAGAGCTAAAATTTTAACTGGAAGTTATGAAATGCCATGTTAGGTTTTCCATAGCAGCATAAAGATTATACTGTCTGCTTCTTTTCCAATTACCATTTATGATAACTATGGTAAGTTGGGGGAACTCAGCAGAGCAGTGTGGTGGTGAGCTCTCATTGGCATACCAACAATGATACTGGCTGAGATTAACTGAAGGCCATTGGAGGGTGCAAATACAAGGGTGAATTCCCACCCCCAAATAGGATGGTTGCATACAATCCTATGGAGTTAAGAATCAGCATTTGGGCCACTAAGATTTTATAAAAATGCTGCTGTGCTTCCTTTTAGAATAAGTTAGGTATTTTAATAAGGTGTCATTTACTGCATGGTATTTTTAGAAACAACTCATATGTGGCAAAGCCACACTGCTATGAAATTAATAAAACTCCAAGGATTTATTTCTCATTACAGCTAAAAATAGGCACCATTTCAACAAGAATAGCTTGTGTCATGAACAGAAGCCAAAATTACTTGGCTACCGCTAAATGTGTCACATTTATTGTTCATAAACATGATATATGGGTCTGAGCTGGAGTCAAGCCAGGATCCAGGGTTCAAGCCCTATTACTTTGCAATGTAGATGTAGCCCCACTTGGACTCTTCCTCTGGGAATATGCCAATAGTATCCCATAATCCTACAGGCTGACTTTCTTAGTCATCTGGATAGTCAAGTTTTCCCACGCTGTACCATGAACAAAGGGCTAAAGCAGTAACATTTTGGGAGGGCATTAGGAAATCTTGGATATGGGTGGTTGGACTTAAGCCTGCATAAAGCAGTATAGACACTGGAGCCCCAGGTTGGTACCCAGTGTTCAACAATTCTTAGCCTGAGAGTACAAACACATGTAGACACTCAAGCCCTAGATTAACAGGCCAGAGTTCTACTAACCCTGGGCTTACATTGCAGTGTAGACATACCCAAAGTGAAACTTACCCAAGGCTACACAGACTTCGGGGTGTAGCATAGAATTGAACCTAGGTGTCTCAAGTCCCAGGATAGCGTCCTAACTATTAGACTATCTTTCTGATGAATGCAATGGGACTTATTCATCACTCCAAGGGAAGGTACCGCCAGCATCACTGGCCATGTTCCTACCAGGTTGAGTTCTGATTTTGTCAAAACCAAGAGAGAGATCAGATTTTAGTAGCCTATAAACTGAGGCAGTGGCTGTAAGGACCACCCTCCTTACTGGCCACACCATTCCAAAACCACTCTCTCTTACTACAGGAAACTTTCAACCAGGCTCTGTTCTGAAAAGCTACTGTGTAAAGACAGAATTGTAGTATTCTATGCTGATTCTCTCCCAATTATTTCTAGATCAAGTGTGCTTGGTTTACAAGTAAAAAGATGAGGGGTGGGGATTGTCTGGCTGCCACCTGCACATACTTGATAATTCTGTTGATGATGCACAAAGATAAATAGCATCTATCTCATTCAGTTCCTAGCTCTGATGACTTAGCAGTGGTATTAGGAGCAAAAACAGGACACCCATATTTCTGTCAATGAAGTAAGCAGGTGTGATAGAAGCCCATAGGGACCTGTGGAGAATAAAGTGTATGTTTACATGTTAAAGGGCACATAGGCTGGAAAGAGTTAAGATTTTTTCCAGGATTCTCTTCCCCCATCAGTTAATTGCATTGGCAAGATGCCATGTTTGTAATATGCATAAGGAAACATAAGACTGTTCCTAAGTCTCTGGATCAATATTCAGTTTTTGTGAGGAGGTGGAATTAAAAATGAGTATGGTCTGGAAACAAAGACAGAAGGTGAAGTTCCTCTAAAGTTTGAGTGCAGACTGAAGGGAGACAAATGCCATGAAACTTGAATGACTCTGTGTCAGAAAGGATGAGAAGCTGAAACAAGAGCTGTAAGATTCCATTAGCATTTAATGCTTCCTGTCTCTGCAGTTGAAAAAGAAGACTGTATTCAGAGACAGGCAAATTCTCCTCCCTCAGAGTCCCACCACAAGAAGAAACATTACTATGGTCAGGGAACGAAGAAGAGTAAGGTGGAAAAAACCAGCATATTCTACATGTCATATTGTGGCTGAAACCCTGGGCCTTAGAAGGTCAACTGTACTGGCTCACTATGGTCCATACTGTGCCTGGGGCAGAATGCACAAGGAACTTTTCCTCTCAACTGTGCTATCCTCTCCATATGCAATCCTGCGCTCTGGGGAGTCCAGGGAGTTCTGTCTGAGTGGAGAAAGAGGAAGGTGGTGGCTTTATTCCACCTTTGCCCCAGCCACCAGAGCTGGCTGCTGTGAAGAAGAGAGCATGCAGCACCACCAGAGGGTGCTCTCCATACTCACCTTATGATCTGAGAAACTCCAGGGGGATTTCTGAGGTACAGGCCTCCCCTAGCTTCACCTGGGGCAGCATGACTCCACGCATCTACAATACTGGGCTAGGTCTACACAATACAGCC